GACCCAAAATTACAAAAATATTCATCAAAATTAGAGATTTGAAGATATCATCATGAAATGAACAAATCTAAGAGAGGTCTACTCAAGGTACATATACACCAAGTATCAAAGCATTTCGGCTTGCAGTTTTCAAGAAGAAGTCAAAAAAGTAAAATATTGACACGGACGATAGACGACTAACAATCACTCGTATGATAAGCTCTGCTCGTCAAAGTCGACAGCGGAGCTAAAAAAGAATGGATAAACATAGTTGACACTTGTGCATTTAGAGTAAATACAGTATATAATACGGTACATCTTCTATGTATGCATCTATAGAGACTAAGGTGCAAACTACAACTTTGCAGCACTTATACACCTAATTTACATTACAGTACAGGATCAAAATTAAAACAGGAAGTCAGTCAGTCAGTCAAATTCCTGCAAATTTACATGTGGGGGTAAACAAAAGATTCTTCAAAGCAACTGTTCACTGAGGGGCTTAATGTTCTATGGTGAAATTGAGTAAAAAATACTATCCTCGAATTATTCCGACGCAAAATAAAGATTAATCACACAGCCTATGTGCAAAAAACATTTACTGAAATACAGTAATATAATAATATCACACTGTTATTGATAGTTGAATGGGCACCGTAATTTACATATTTATAATATTAACCAGCTGTATGTGATCTCACCGTACGTGTCACCGTCCCCGAAATAGTGTGTAACAGATAGAACTATGTTGTCAACTACGCCCACGGTCACTTCTAACAGGGGTTTGTGGTTGGGTATATCATGGATGTACATCCATGGGTATATATAACAGTTTAATATAACCATATACTGGCTATAGCATTATCCAAAGAAGTGTCCCTGCTTACGGTATCCACTACGCTTTAATACTTACACATAAGAGTACTGAATGCAACGACAGCCAATATCCCTTGAATGAAAATGCCAAATGGATCTGTTAAAGCCCCGTGGTCGCAGTGGGGATGAAGCCGCACATCAGCCACATTTACCGTAATGTCATCTACCCCCAGTGTACGGTTCATTGTGAACGCTGCTCTGGTGCACTCTTGGTTTCGTGATTCAGTGACTGCTATCGAGACATGAATAGGCTGGTAGTTAGTGACTACAAGATATACACATACGCGATATAATATGTATATTTAAAAAGTTAATCTGGCCAAACGAACTAAATTTGCAAAATATTTTGGTGTCATATCTTCTGCTTCGTTGTCAAACTTCCGCCATGTTTAGGTGTTTACCTTTCTAAACAACGCATGCGCAATTCCAATGACGTCATAACCCGCCGTTTAGAGCGTGCTGATTATTTCCTGCTGTATCATTTAGTCAGATTTGAGCGAAAAATAAACTACCAAAATCAGCCAAAAGGGGTGGAAAGAAAGAAAAACACAATTAAAATTATTATCTTTGCTTAGAAATGTGTTTTTCTCCGTATTTTCCCATTTTTGGGGGCAGTCAAAAACGGCTTATCTTGTCTGGACATTCTATTTTTCCAAAGGGTAGATTTTGTTTACCTACTTCTTACGTTGTGAAAGCTTTGCCATGTATATGCGATTAATTATACTGTTGTCACTGTAATGTATTTATTGTAATGGTTTATAAATTAAAAGTAAATTCTCGAGTTTCGTAAAACCCATAATATAGATGTGCCTCAAAAGATAGCTACACTATCCTCGTTCATTGAAATTGTCTTCACCCATGAATGTGTGGGTTTTTAAAGTCACGGGCATGCGCAGATCACTTTACAGGTGCCATCTTGAAATTTTCCGAAAATTTACTGAGGTATTCCTGCAAAGTGGCTACGAGAGTACCACCAAAAATGGCAGAAAAAGAAGATAAGGTACAAATTGTTTTATATCATGCAGTTGCTAAGAATATCTTTTACCTTGTTTAATTTTTTTCCCATTTTCTAACGTGTGTTTTTGCGGTTTTTCTAGCAACTTTTTCAACCCATGTATGTTCGCAGTTGGCTTGTTTATTCAGCGACATCGACGCAGTGTCGTCAGTCCTATTTGGGGGCGTTAACTTTTTAGATGTTTTGCATCGAGAAAACACTATATGGTGCTCTTTGCAAGGTGTATACCTATTGTGAATATGTTTATGAATGTGTCGAATTGTTTTTCGCCTTGAGTCTAAGCTATATTTACTTTTAATATGTTCCAATGTTGGCACCATGAACTCACTCAGTCACTGTAATTCATTCGACGTGGTAGTCTCCCATACAGTGTCCCGGGCATAGCTGATCATTTGACGATTTATTCTCAATTATAATTTAGGGGATGCAAAAAGGAACACCATTCGTCACTACTTTCGACTTCTTTCACTGTCATAGTGATATTTTTAAAGGCTAATTTTTGCCCGTTATATTTTTTCCAAACGAGAAATAAAACTGTATGGAGGCCCGGAATTTAGTGAACAAGATGGCGACTGCCGTGAAATCTAACCACACATCGTTCGTGTCTCAAGCCTATTTCTTCTTTAAAAAAACGTTCACAGTATTTTCTTTTACTTAAGTACAATTTTGATTTATTTTTCAAACGAATCATGATTTTGTAAATGAGTTATAGTGATTTTTCTAAGTTTTTCTAGATGTGGAAAAATTTGCGTGGTTGTAGATTCTCGCTACATAATGACCTTTCAGACCTCATTAGCAATGCAGAAGGGGCGGGGCCTACATGATAATCAATCCTGGCAATTGACGCCTTTGCCAACAACACCCAAGCAACGCAATTTTATGAGGGTTTTGAGGAACTTGGTGGAGAAACTTACACTTCCCTGTTTTTTCAACATGTCAGAATTATTCTGATAATAATGTTCTTATCTGTTGTCAGTCACAAAATAAAATGAAAGCTATGCATCTTGTTGGTTAAATCATACAGCTAAAATGAAATGGTTAAACCAAGCTGTAGACTTGGAATAAAGTCATCACTGTTTCCATTATTGTTATCTAAGTACCTGTAGGCCATTTTTACTTTAGAAGGAAAGCCCTGATTTACGTTTTCCTATTTGGGGATATCAACAGTGATGCTCAAGTAATTTTAGCCAACTCATTGAATGTCCATTTGATATATCCAAACAAATTAGCATATTGTCCATTGTTGTATTGAATCACTTTATGACCATTTCACTCTGTTTTCTTTAAAAGTATAGGGGTGGCGTAGTTTCAACACTAATGTGGCCCTCCTTTATGGTATGATAACTGTGTGTTTGATGGATATCCCTGATTTTGAATACTCAGTCCAATCAAGCTGAGTAATCCAAATAATAATAATGAATTGTATCTTTATGTCGTCCTTAAAATTATATTTTTTTATTTGTTTATACTGACATCTATGTAAATGAAAAGAAAAATATTTAAAATCACAAATTAAGTGAATTTTCATTTTTTAAATGAAAGAATTGTGAATAACATCACCCAATGCAGTTTTGTGACAGATTTAATTTCAAATTAAAAAAAAAATTCTTCTAATGTTTTAGTCAATTTTGGTGATTTTCCTCAAGACACCAGCACCCAACCAATTTAATGGTATTTGTTCCTATTGAGGACACCTTTAGTTATTTATCTATACAATGAAATTGTGGGCTGGAAGATTAGGTATGGGTAGAGGTAGCTCTAAGAATTAATTAACATGCATCCAGGGTTCTTCCCAGAAAAAATGCATAGTGTTGTAACTAATTTGCATAGTCATTTGTATAATTAATAATTTGCGTATCATTTACATACCTTTCATTCATTAATTAACAGAACTCATTTACAATTATGAATATTAATGAACTCGGTCACAGTGCAAATATTTTTTTTAATGGAATCAACACATTATGTTTCACAATTTAGAAGTGTTTGAATTTAAAAATGAAACATTCTCGAAATACAAATGCTGCAGACTAAAAAAACAAAAATAAATAAATTATTGTTGCAATATTAATGTCGCATTTGAAATGTTAAGCCAGAAATATGTTCAAGAATTTCATGATTTTATTTACTCCAAAAATATTCTCCTTCAAAAAATCGACCACATAATTAATTGGCGTATTGTTGTAATTTAATTATTAATATTCGTACCATCAACTTCAAACGAACAAATAAAACTTCAAAACGATCAAAGTTACGAGGTGACATAACTTACTTTGCTATGTTATACACCGGTTATACCAATAATTCCTCTTACTCAGTCATGATGCCATGCAAAAAATGTTACATGTTTTTTTTAGCTCCACTGTCGACACAGCGGAGCTGTTCATATTACTGATTGTCCGTCGTCGTCAACTTTACAATTTCAACTTCTTCTTCGAAACCACAGGTCAGAATTTTTTCAACTTTGATATGCAAGTAGTTTGGATGGTTCTTTCTCAGATTTGTTCATTTCATGTCAAAATCTCCAATTCTCTAATTTTGATGAATATTTTTGTCATTTTTGGTAGAAACTGATATTTTTGACTTCTTGTTAAAAACCGCTAGTCTGATTGCTTTGATATTACATATATAGGTACTACATGAGGACCTCTCTCAGATTTGTTCATTTTGTGATGATATCTTCAATTAATTTTGCTTAATTTTTTTGTAATTTTTGATAAAAAGTTATATTTTCGACTTCTTGTTAAAAACCACAAGTCTGATTGCTTTGATACTATACATATTGTTAATTTTCTAATGATATCTCTAGTTCAGTGTTCTCCCCAAAGCGTTTTAGCGTAGCGGGGCCGCTACTCTATTATTTATGCCGCTACTCTGAGAGATTGCCCGCTACTCTGTGGCATTTCCTGTTACTCTTTGTTTTAGCTTGTAAATACACGTGCGAATCTGTTAGTCAGCGTCATCAGCGTCCGTTACTGTGAGCTAAATCAGGTGTGAATGGAAACATGTCAGTGATTACACAAAAACAATGGACTAATACAGCTTCGTACTTCGACAATAAACACTTTCGCCCTATTTAATTGGGGTAATAGCGAGCATTTTCTCAGTAGCATATTCGGCTTGAAGAAGCAACGATGTCAAACAGCAGAAATATTACGTCGTGTTCCGCGTAGAACGCCCTGCTGGGCCCCTGGTTGCGAGCGATAAACCCACCAGCAACACGGTCACCGGTACCCCTGTCGGCAGTGGTACTAAACGTGTCCAAGATGATGTTACAGCGAAAGGTGCAAAAAAAAAA